AGGCTGAGCATGTCAGGGCCTCCCTCCCTGTCCCCATGGTACCTGGGCCATGTGGCCACTGCATGTCAGCCTTGCAACACCGCGCCTGTGCGGGGAGCCTCTACCTGGACCCACGTGGCTGCATCTGGGTGCCCAGGGCTCCCCGTGAGGGTCCCATGCTCTGCCCTTGGCACTGTCCAGGTGCTGCTTCAGTCTCTGGGCCCATCCTCGCCACAGTGCAGTAAAGCGCTGCCCGGGACAGACGCCACAGACACCTTCCACCACCACCCCCACCCCACCCCCGGCCCCACAGTGGGCCTTGCATCCCCGGCTGTCCTGGGGAGCTGGAGGGCTGGACCGGGGCAGCAGAGGCATCTGTGCTCAGTCATCGTCCTGCGTCTCACAGGTGAAGCAGAAGGAAAACGGCGTCGCACTCAAGTGCTTCCAGTGTGTGGTCCAGGCCCTGGACGCACTGGGCTGGGAGGAGAGGCAGCTGGCCCTGGCTAGGGGGCTGCTGGCAGGCAACGTCTTCGACTGGGGCGCCAAGGCCGTGTCCGAGTAGGTGTAGCGCTGTGCCCAGCTTGGCGCTCTGTTTGCTCTCACGGTGGCTCAGAACCCGTTCATTCTGTAGCTCAGGCGTCTCCATCCTGTCCCCAGGGTGCCCCCCTAACGTGTAGACACTTTGGGACCCTGGGGTGCAGTCTGGATCCGAGCTGACACTGGAATGCTCCGTCTACGCCATGGTTCCATGGCTAAGGTTTTGGGGGTGGTTCCCTCCGAGGTGAGGGGCGCTGTGCAGCTGGCTGCCCTGACGTGTGGGGATGCGCATTCTGAGGACTGTCTGAGGTCCTTGCCTGGACCTCTTGATCTGGGGTGAGCGGTGTCCGTGCTTTCCACAGTGGTTTACTTTAGCATATGGGCCTCACAGGCTGGCTGGTCCCCTCCTCCCACCCAGGGCTGCAGCCAGATGCCAGTTCCCCGTGGTAACCCCAGGGCTCCGCAGTTGGGCAGTCGGGTGGGGCCTCCCTGTCCCTCTTGGGCCCCTGTTGGCTGTCTGCACACAGATGTGACTAGGACTGGCTGCATCCCCACCACACCCTTCACAGCTGGCCACATGCCCCTTTCAGGGTGTTGTAGGGGATCTTCCCATGGGATGCGGTAGGCACCCCCAGTGCTGCCAGCCACAGAAGGCCCTGGCCCGGGCCCAGTCACCTTGGGACTTGATGCTCGGCCTGAGAACCTTGCTGCGGCTTCCGTGGCATCACTCAGTAAGCCAGTGGCCTGCAGCCACGTGGCAGGGGTAGCATACAGCCTGGCAGGAGAGGCCTCGCTGGGGGCCCATCTGATCTCCTCTTCTCCTCCTCCGCGCAGTGTCCTTGAGTCTGACCCCCAGTTCGGGTTTGAAGAAGCGAAGAGGAAGCTACAAGGTATGAGCATCTTCCATGGGACTGCTGCATGGGGGCGTTGTCCACAGGAGAGGACCGGTGGCTGGCTGGGGGCACAGCTGCTGGGCCCCTGACACCGCACTGCCTTCAGGGTCCCCAAGACCCAAGCAGCAAAGACGTGTCTCCTTCACTTGCCTCAATGCTGTCCCTCTCTTCACAGAGCGCCCCTGGCTCGTGGATTCCTACAGCAAGTGGCTTCAGAGGTTAAAGGTACGTAGAGGTGCCCTGCTCTGCCTGCGAGGGACATGGCACGGTGTGGGGGGGGCAGTGGGCCCAGATGGAGGTGGGCAGGGAAGTGGGCAAGGCGCTGCCTCAGGAACAGGCAGTGCACGGAGGGGTCTCAGTGTCCCAGCCAAGAGCATGACAGCCACTGTCCCTGTGCCCCACCTGCCCTTTCATAGTGGCCACTTGGCAGCCCAGCCAGCCTCAGTGCTGAAGTCTCTGGGGCACCATTGAGAAGGGGCAGAGCTCCTGCTGGCCACCCTGGGACCCTGAGCTCTGGTCAAGCCTGTGGGGGTGTGGGGGCGGCGGGGTCTGCAGCACTTGGATGCACCGTTCCCAACTGAACGTCCTGGTTTTGTCTTACAGGGACCCCCTCATAAATGTGCCTTAATTTTCGCAGATAACAGTGGAATAGACCTCATTTTGGGAGTCTTCCCCTTTGTCAGGGAGCTACTCCTTAGAGGGACGGAGGTGAGTGCAAAGGCCGTGTGGGGGACCCTTCCCCGGGCTCCTCCACTCTGGGGGGGCTGGCACTGCCTCGAGCTCCTGGCAGCAGGTAGGTGTGGGCAAGGCCAGGAGGGCTCAGGGCCACTCTGCCACAGCCTGGCTGACCCCACCCCTTGGAAAGGTTTTCACTGCAGGCCCCAGCCTTGACGCTGTGCCGGGGTCCAGCGGGGCCTGCCAGGGTCAGCCAGGGCAGTGCAGTGGCCAGGACTAAGCTGAAGCCTCCCCTGCAGGTCATCCTGGCGTGCAACTCGGGCCCTGCCCTGAACGACGTGACCTACAGCGAGTCTCTCCTCGTGGCCGAGCGCATCGCAGCCATGGATCCCGTCGTCCAGTAGGTGCTGGGCGAGGGGCAGCCTGGTGGGGCCTGGCTGTGGCAGGGGTGCCCAGGGCGCCCCTCACAAGGCGCTGACCATCTCTTGTCTCCCAGCTCTGCACTCCAGGAGGAGCAGCTGCTACTGGTGCAGACGGGCTCCAGCTCCCCATGCCTCGACCTCAGGTGAGTTGGTCCCTCTGTGCCCTGACTCCGGAGCCAGGTGGTACCTTTCCTTGGGACCCTCAGGTGGAAGGTGGCTCAGGAAGCGCTGTGGAGGCAGACGCTGAGGTCCCTGGTGTCCTGCTGGTCCTTGCCCAACCCCAGCCTCTTCCTTCCCAAAGCCGCCTGGACAAGGGGCTGGCCACGCTGGTGCGGGAGCGCAGCGCCGACCTGGTGGTCATCGAGGGCATGGGCCGTGCTGTGCACACCAACTACCACGCAGCGCTGCGCTGTGAGAGCCTCAAGCTGGCTGTGCTCAAGAACGCCTGGCTGGCCGAGCGGCTGGGCGGCCCGCTCTTCAGCGTCATCTTCAAGTACGAGGTGCCAGCCGAGTGAGGCCACCACCGCACCTGCGGTCCCTGTCAGGACTGGGTTTGTCCTTGGAGAGCAGCCTGCATCCACCCAAGCGTCTCCACCGTGCTGATGGCAGATTGTGTGTGCCGCCCAGCCCAGGGCTGCCCTATGAGACGCTTGTGTTGAAATGTATTTAACTGTTAAATAATGTTTTATACACACACACACAAAACACACGCCACATATATATATAAATATATAAGGACACATCTGCTGGCATGTGTGCCTGGGCTTCATGTTCGGTGCTAGAGGCCATGTCCCCATCAGTCACTGGCTTCAGGAGCCATCCACCTCTGGCAGGGTCCCAGAGAGGCCTGTGCGCCACCTCCCGTCTCTCTGTCCCCTTCCCCCATGCTCTGGGGAGGGCAAGACGCTGAGCAGCTCTTCTGGCTGAAGAGCCGTAGGGCAGAGGCTGAGGTGACGCGGACGGCCCTCGAGGACAGAGGCTGACGCGACGCGGATGGCCCTCGAGGACAGAGGCTGACGCGACGCGGATGGCCCTCGAGGACAGAGGCTGACGCGACGCGGATGGCCCTCGAGGGCTCTTGGAGCTAACACACACGGCTGCTGTAGGTTTTGCTACTGTGGCTTTGAGCCCGGCCTCAGAGAGCTGCAAGATCTGGGGGTCAGCCAGCCTTCCTGGGGTGGACCTGAGGTCCTGTTTGGTGCTCTGGGTCAGTGCCCGCCAGGGGCAGTGTGGGGGCCAACTGTGTGCGCACGGGACGGCACTGGGAGCTACCCACTCCGGGAGCAGGACGGCCCTGAGGCAGCCCGGCTGCAAGCTGAGAACTGCAGGGCCAGCAGGCGAAGCAAGGCTCACTGGGCTCTGCCTTTGCAGCAACAGCTGCCACTTTGCCCCCCCTCACCGCCATGCTCCTGGCACAAAGCTGTACAGGTTGCCTATAGCCCAACCCAGGGCACAACCCAAGGAGACAGGTCGGATGTCTTCCGAAGCCTCCTGTCTTGGACCAATACCTGTTGCCCCTGCGTCCAGTGCCATTGTATGCCCCACCGCCTCCCTCAGTGGCCTCCAGGGGACAGCAGGTACCGTGCTGGGTGGTCATAGTGGCGGCCTGGCATGTCTTAAGGTTCTTCCCTGCTGTGGCTCTAGGGCAAAGCCCCCTGCTTCCTTCTGGCCAGGGTCCTTGAGTGACCAAGCCACACTTCCTGTGCTCCCTGGGCCTGCATTGATGGAAGCTTTCGGGCTTAGTATGGCCTCCCGAACCCTGACTCCTGCAGCCAGGTCAGGGCTGAGCCTTGGAGCCCTCCCCCAGAGGAGACAGTGCCACTGCAGAGCCTCCCTGCCAGGCTCAAGTGGGCTGCAGGCCAGGTCACGTCGTGCAGTAGCTCTTGGGTGCCTACAGGACCCAGGCTGGGCCTGAGGAGATGGTGGTGGTGCAGAGGTCTGGGCACAGGGGCACATACAGCTGGGATAGGGGCTGCAGGCTTGGCAGGCCTGTGAACACCCTGGCTCTGTCTTCTGCCATTGGTGTAGGAGCCATGTGTCCTCCAGGCTACGGTAGCCTCTGCCCTCCTGCCTTCTTCCAGAAGGCACAGCAGTGTCCCCCGCCCGTGGCTGGCAGCAGCCCAACCCTCCCTGCGCACCTGCCCTAGGCGCCTGGGGGCTGAGCCTGGAGCTGGTGGTACTGGCCCTGTGGCTGCCCACGGCTGCTCTCCTGAGGCTACACAAATGTGCATGGGGTCCATGACTGCGTCCCAAGCTCCTGGCCCCAAGAGCAGTGCTTTTGCCTCGGTCCTGGTTAGTGGCAGGCTCTTAGATCCTTGCAGGCACCAAAGGACCGAGGCCTTGCAGGTCACTGGGGTGCTCCTGCCTGCTGTCCTAAGCGCTGGGGCAGGCAGAGGTCAGGTACAGCACAGCCTCCCAGAGCAGAGCTGGGGCCACCAAGCCCTCCAGGGACCGTGCTGGGACTGCCTGGGGAGCAGCCGGGGAGGCTGAGGGAGCAGGTGTGAGTACATTTATTGGAACTGTGTCCAGAAGTTTACAGTCTCGGGACACCCGGACGGAGGACCGTCATTCAGAAGGAGCAAGGCGTGGGGGGCAGGGACAGCCCAGCTCTGGGGCAGTGGACATCCTGGGGATAGGCTCACCACACACACAGGGCCTGGACACCAGGGAGGATGAGGAAGGGCTCCGTATCGCTTTAATGCTGAGTTCTGTCTTACACATCCCAGGCTCTTGCACGGCCAGACGTGGCCTCGCTTGCTCCCCAGGCTGGAGGAGGGGGGTGAGGAGGCCGGGTCAGAGCCTCAGCAGCAGCAGGCCATCGGCAGCACCAGGCACCTGCTCTGGGGTGCCCTTGGGGGGGCCCGCGGCATCCACACAGCCCTCCAGGCCTACAGAGCAGGCACCCTCCGGGGTGCCCCGCTCCTCCTCTGGGGGTGCTCGTGGGTCTAGGCCCCGGAGCCGCTGCTGCCGCTCCTGAGCCTGGCGGGCCCGGCTGGCGATGGCACGCACACGGCTCTGGCTGCGGGAGGAGGAGCGCCGCAGGAAGCCAGGGCCCCCCAGTGCCCCATCCCCAGCCGGGCCCAAGCTGGTGGGCGATGTGATGTCCCCGGCCTGCTGGAAGCCGGTGAGCCACCGCAGCTGCTCGGTCAGGGCGTCCCGCCGCGTCCCTCCTGGGGGGCCCAGGCCCCGGCCCAGGCTGCGAGAGCTCCCCTCAAAGCCGGAGCTGAAGTCATCTGCCGTCAGGTCTCCCAGGCTCTTGGACTTGGCAGCTACCGGGCAGTCCGGCAGGCCCAGCAGGGCAAGGCCCCCCCAGGAAGGCCGGGGCCGCGGGCCAGGCAGCCGTGGGGCCAGAGGCCGGGGCCGCAGCACGTCGGGCGCAGGCGGCAGCTGGCCCGCAGCCCGCAGGTTGGGGTTCGACTTGCTCTTGGTCACGGGAGGCAGGTCCGGGCGGACAGTGGAGGCTGAGCAGGGCCGTGGGGGCAGGCGGCCTAGAGGGGTCCCTGCCAGGCTCTCGCGGCTTCGGCCCAGGCCCAGGCTCAGGCTTGTCAAGGAGAGGTCGATGACAGTGTCGCTGGAGGACATACTGGAAGACGAGGACACGCTGTCTCGGTGGCTGCCTGGCTCCAGCCGCTGCCATATGCGGTCACTGCCTGTGGCGTCCGAGTAGATGGCAGGCGTCGGGGAGGGCCCGGCCAGCGGCCGCCACACACCTGGGGGCTCCGAGGGCACCTGGCCCTCACTCTTGGCCCTTCTGACCACAGGCAGGAGACCCAGGGCTCGAGGCTGGCTCCTGCTGTCTGTCTGGCTGCCAGCAGCCCCCTCGCATGCCCCACTAGGCCCCCCACCATTGAGCAGCTTTCTGGGAGAGTTTTCATTGTCCTCTTGGCCCCCAGTCCTGAGCTGGAGGGGCCCGGAAGGTCCCTGAGCTGTCCGTGGGGGACTGGCCGCTTTGGCCGCAGGCCCCGTGGAGCACGGGGGCCGCACCCTGGGAGGGCTGGTGGGGGTGGCTGCCTGTGCAGGGGCACCGGGGCCCAGGGCCGGCTCCTCCGCGATGGGCTCCAGGCTGCACAAGGGGGAGATGGGTCGCTGTGTAGAGAAGGGGCGGGGGTCTGGGGAGACAGGCAGAGACAGAGAGATGGGAGAGGAGGGGAAAATGAGTCAAAGGTGAGAGATGGGGAAGGAAAGCCATGTCAAAATGGGAACCCTCCAGCCCCTGCACAGCGGGCTAAGGGCCCCCCGACCCCCAGCAGCCAGGCCTATCCATTTGCACACAGCTAACATGGTATATTCAGTGTCTCCCTCCCTGCCGCCATTGGGGCTGGGGCGTAGACGGACAAGGTGCCTGGGCTCTGTGCCCACTCACAAGGTCTTTGGGGCCTGGGGCTACACGGGGCACACAGGGCCGGGCTGTTACCTGGCACTCACGGCTCTCAGTCCCTAACTACGAAGGCAGCCCGGGGTGCAGGGACAGAAAGGAGAACAAGGTCAGCCGGGTGGGGCCGGGCTAGGGGCAGACGCACAGCGAGGTGGGCAGGGTGCGGAGCAGAGTGAGGGGCCCAGCACATGTCCCTCCTGTCCACGCTGGGGTCTGGCGCCCCAGCTCCACCCTCCACCCACTGTCTGCCAGGATTGGCTGTGGCCTCCCACAGCTGCTCAGAGTCACAGGCCCAAGAGCAGGGGAAGCAGTCTCAGCCCTTTGCAGACTCAGGCGCCGCGGCCAGACCAGAGCACCAGCCCAGGATGCAGGACATCTGTGGGCGCCCTCTGGCTACACCACCGTCCTCCAGCATACTTCCAGCAGGGGGAGCTCTGGGCCCGGAGGAGGCTTGGCCGGGTCAGGCAGGGGCGTGACATAAACTCCCTTCATGCCACCCACAGAGTACCGGGGTTTCTTGGGCAGAGGGGCAGGAACCAGGGCAGACAGGGCTGCAGGAGCACACGGAAGCAGAGCCGAGCAGAGCGGGGGACACACAGCCCAGGCATGCCGGATATGCAGAGGACACGGTGCGGGGGAGCAGCTGGCCTTACCCGTGGAAAACATGGGGGAACTACTCCTCATCTCCTCCAGCTTTTGAGCGAACAAGGCATTCATCTCTCCCTGCAGCGCCCCCAGCTGCCTGTGGGCACCCTCAGGTGGGCAGGGGGCCCCTTGGGGGCTGCCCGGGCTGCCTGGGCTGCTGGAGTCCGAGGACATAGAGCCGCTGCCACCTGCACCCTGAGGCTGAGCCCTGGAACTCTTAGAGGCCGCTCTGCTTCTCCCTGGGGTGGCTCGAGGGCCCAGGCCACAGGGGCTCCCCGGCAGGTCCACCCAGGCCTGGGGCTGTTGGCTGATGGCTGTGAGCCTGCCCACAGGACCCGGGCTGGGCGGCTGCTCCCTCCACAGGCCCTCAGCGTCCACGCCGGTGCAGGAGCCCACCACACACTTCATGCATGTGGCGGCCATCCCAGCAGGCCCAGAGCCCTCAAGGCCACGTAGAGGTCGCACCTGCGTGGGGCTCCTGGGTTCAGCAGCCACTGCTGCCACCCCGGGTGCCTTACCTCGGGAGATGCTGCTGCCTGGCCCATCATGGGCTGGGGTCTCAGGAGTGGGGCCGGGGCTGGGGGGCACCACATCGTCAGCTGCCCCCTCGGAGCCCACGTCCCGTGTGCCCAGCACCAGCTCCGGGAAGCCCTTTCGGCCTGGCTTCTGGCTCTTGGTTGGGGCACTGGCCGTGCGCCGCAGGAGCCGCTGGCTAACGGAGGGCCGGGGTGGGGGCTGCCCAGCAGCATGACTGTCCAGGGAGCCGGGCTTTGCGCCGCGGAGGAAGAGGCCTTTTAGACCCAAGGCCTGCTTGGCCTGCAAAAGAAGGAGCTCACATAGCTAGCGCCAGGGACCCACAGCCCAGCTGTGGCTGCAGCTCGAGAGAGAGAGAGCCCTACTGGGATGGGCTAGGCACCACTGGGCTGGCCAGCCGGAGAGCATGAGGAATGCCAGCCACAGGGATTCTCCCAGCAGCCCCACCAGAGCTGACAGAACCCCTCTCAGACCAGCAACGTGCCCTTCGGAGGTCTGGGGGGAGGCAGGAACTGCTCTTCCATGAGCTCTCAAGGACCAACCTCAGCCCCAGCCCCAGTCCCAGCCCTGGCCACCACACCTGGCTCACTCTGCGGCATGCAGAGAAGCAGGGGTCTGCGGTCACTGTGGCTCACATCCCCAAGCCCTCAGCAGCAGCAGTCACGAAAGCAGACACAGCCAGGTGCACCGAGGCCTACACACCCAGCCCTGCCCCCTGCTCCTGGTGACCCTGCAGGGACACTGCTCCAGGAGCCTTTATGGACTCCACATGACCTCCTCCCACCTGGCCCTATGCTCTGCCTGCATCCCCAGCTGGCTCGGTGCTGGACCACTGCCTAGCTGGACGCAGCCTCCTGGCCTGCCAGGCCACAGCCATCTCCTGTCCAGCTGGGCGAGGAGATCCCTGCATAGGCTGCTCCTGCAGTCCCCGCCGGGGTCCCTGCTGGAGAGCACAGGGCAGCTGCAGCTCACAAGTGCAGAGCAGCGGTCCTCACATGCCAGGCACCCCTGCATCCCACAGAGACCCCACAGCACCCACCACTCCCCAGGACGGGCTGCTCTGTACCAAGTACAGGACCAGGGCCCTTCTGGCAGAGGCAGTAACATGGTCAGCACTTGAATCAGCACCCTGATTCAAGATCCCAAATCCAGTGCAATTTGGTCAATGTAGGCTGGGATGCCATTTAGAAGGAGATCCAGGATTCAGGCTTGGCGGGCCAGGCCCCATGTCGTCCCGCCCAAGCACTGGCAGACTAACAAGGGAATGGAAGAGGGCTGAGAAATGACAGCTCGGGGGACACAGAGGGAAGGGAGGAAGGGGAAGGGGAAGGGGCAGGGGCAGAGCTCACACCGGAGAAGCAGACGCCTGAGGGCAAGGAGGAGATGGACGAGGGACCTTGGGGAGGAGGCAGTGGCCTCGGCTAAATCCTGGATCTGCCTCATAAATGTCACTCTGGCTGAGAATGGCCCAGGGGACCCCGGAACCACGTCATGACCCATGTCAAATGAACTGACGGTCTCCAAAATGCTACCAGGAGTCACAGATGCTAATGAGTGGGGCCTGGCATGCAGGGGCGCCGGCTGCACTGGCCCGAGGCGCCCGGGTACCTTCGAGATTCCTAACAAGGCTGAGCTTCTAAAAGTAGACTTGGGACATACAGAAGCCCACTGCAAGACCAAAGAGACAGAGCAAAGGCCGGTGAGTGGCCCCAGAGGCCAGGGAGGGGGCCTGTGGCCCATGGAAACAGGCGGACACGACAGATGGACAGATGGACAGATGGACGGACGGACGGCAGCAGAGAGCAAGACCCTGCAGAGCCTCCGGGCCCGCAGGCACAGCAGAAGAGAGGTCAGCAGGGCCCAGACATCCCGCCTAGAATAGCCACTCAGGCTCCCAGGCTGAGACCCCAGCCCTGGCGTGGCCCGGGCTCGTGTGCTGGGGGCCGGTAGGTGCCAAATGTGCACCGCTCCGGAAGGGGAGGCAGCCAGGGAGGCTGGGGTGGGGGTGGTGGGGAGAAGGCCCTGGGAGCCCACGTGTGCCATCCCTGTCAGTCAGGCAGTCAGGGCTCCCGGGTGAGGCCACCAGGGTGACTGAACCAGGCACAGGTGGAGGGCATGGAGGGGGCACCAGGGGACTCCTTCCCAGGGCAGGGACTCAAAGGTCAGCATTGGCAGGCTCCTGGGCCAGCACCACTGTACCCACATGGGGTAGAGGAGGAAGCCTGGCGGGCTCCCTATGGGGGCTCCGTTTCCAGGGACGACCCCCAGGCACAGCCTGCTCCCACACGACACTCACCTTACCGCTGATGTCGCTGATGGCCACATGCACAAAGATGGAGGCTTCTTCCATCCCCTCGAGGTACACGTGCCGATAGCCTGGGGCACGGCATGTGGTCAGCAGGGCCTCCCCACCCTGTCCAGTGGCTCATGCTCTTCCCTCAGCCTGAGTGGGAATGGCGGCCCTGCCTGGGTGGCTCCACCCCCCAGCACACCCAGGGGCGCTGTGGAGCCTGCAGGGACCTCCTGGTGGGCTAACCCGCTTTGCTCCCCCACAAAGCCAGCAGGAGTAGGGCTTCTGTGTTTGGGGCCACTGCAGAAGTCCTGCCAGCACCAGCTGCCCACCTGGCCGCCCACCTGGCATCATGCTGCTGAAAGCCAGCGTCCTCTGGCCGATGAAGTCCCGCCCGATGGGGTCATGGTCCCAGACCAGGAAGCGCACCAGCGCCAGCTCAGGCATGTGCACCGTGAACACCAGCGTCTCTTCCCACATGGGGTTAAACCCTGAGCAGAAGGAGGCCAGTGACCGGGCTGCGGCATGGAACGAGACAGCCAGGGATCTGGGGGCTCAGAGGCCAGGGCACCTGCGGCATGCCATGTGCACTGGCCTGTTCTTGCCAGACTGGGCTGCTGCCCCAGCATGGGCACAGGCTGTCGTTGGGGTGCTCACCGTTGTCATCCACCACACGGGTCTGCTCCTTGCTGCAGTCCACCGGGAGCCCAATGACCTCCACCTCCACGAAGGGGTCGATGATCTGGGGACAGTGTGGGGATGGCATCGGACACCAGGACAAAGGTGGCAGGGGCTCACAGCACCCTCTGCTGGCACAGGTCCACCCTACCTCCCCTCGGTCACCCAGCATGGAGTCTCGTGGCTTGGGGAGCTGCTGCCCACTGATGATCCTCAAAGCCAGCTGCTTCCTGAGCTGCCCAGGCAGGGGGTCCTCGGAGTTGGGGTTGAAGACACCTGAGAGGACACAGGCGTGAGCAGAGCAGCCAGCACCCCAGAAACACTGCAGCTGGGCTCTGGGGCAGTGGCAGCCATCAGCCCCATCCAAGCATGGGGACTGCGTGGAGATGGGGCAGTCAGGAGCTTGCACAGGCTGAGGACTTTGAGGGCGCCCCAAGTGCCCACATGGCTCCATAGGACAGAGATGGGTTCCCCGATTCCTAACCCAAGGCCCTGGCAGAGCAGGGTCCATCACAGGCGGCCAGAGGTGGCTCAGCCCCCACCTTCCGTATCCTGGGAGCAGGTGATGGCCCAGCCTCCCCCCGGCCTTGTGCACCCAGTGGCCACGTGCCCTGTGCCTCACCCTGGCACATGCACGGGGGCTTCAGCACGTAGCCACAGTTGCCATTGGCACTAAACTTGGCCCGATTCAGCTGCAGCATCCGCCCCTCCGACTGGTAGTTCAGGGCAACTGCGGGTAAGGAAGGATGGTCCTGGGGTCAGCGACTGTCCTCACACCGTGCCCCAGGCCACTGTGTCCCCTGCCTGCAGCTCTCCCCCCCTCTGAGTGTGTGGGCCTGGAGCTCTCAGCTGAGAGGTTGAGCCCAATGTCCTGGCAGGGGGTCCCTGCGCCGGGCTCCATCAGACAGAACTGCACAAGGGCAGGGCCGTGGGGTTTCTCCCAGGCTGCTGGCCCAGGAGAGCCACACCTTGTATCTGTCCACACCTGGGGGGTGAGGACAGATACAAGGCTGCTGTCCCCAGCCGGCCACAGCCACGGACGCCCCACCCCCTGGCCTCACACACCCATCTGGCAGCCGGCATTCCAGAAGGGCTGCGGGTTGTAGTTGCTGGAGTCCACACGGTAGGACGAGGGGTAGATGCGCGAGAGCTGGTGCTGGTTGAAGCGCAGGTACTGCGCCGGCTTCTGCTGCAGGATCTGGTGGGCCTTGGTCTCGCTGAAGGATGATACCTGCCAGCTCGAGGCCACTGCGGCGCAGACCGTGTTGTGAGTCTCGGGCCTCGGGGATGCACAGCCCGGCTCTGGGCCCCCCTGTGCCCGCCCGCGGCCCTCACCCTCCATCTCCACGTCGTGCGAACCCACGGACTTGGTGTATTTCACCAGGTCCGAGAGGGCCCGGGAGAGCTTCACGGTCTTCTTCTGCCGGGCTGTCCTGCAGGCGTGGCAGAGGTGGTCGGGGCCCTGTGGTGCCCTCCCACTCAGAGCCGGCCAGGCAGGTACCCAGCTCCACTCTGGGGCTCCAGGGCTAGGCGGGTCCTTCTGTGCCCCCAGTGGATGGGCAGGGCATGCAGAGGCCACTTGACCTGGGGCACTATGCCAAGGCTGTGGCAGGTGCCAACCCCGTCAGGCTCAGGTCCAGGCCATGCGGGGCTGGGCAAAGGCCTCTTAGGGTGCCAGTCACTGCAAAGACCCCAGGCTTCTGAGCCTGGGGGGGACGAGGCTGCTGCCCAGCCAGGAGGGCCTCTGAGGATGTGGGCTCTGGAAGGCACTGAGCGGGGCAGTGAGCAGTGACCACAGGGTCCCAGCCATGTGCAGGGGCTGGAGAGGGAGTTGACAGTGGGAGGGACAGAGGACAGGGAGTGACACAGCTGGGAGACCCCAGGAGGGAAGGAGCAGATAGGGAGGGGAGAGACAGGTGTGGGCAGAGGCTGCCATGAACCCCGGAAGTGTCCCAGGGACCTGTGCCAGCCCCATGTGGCATGAGAACCCCTATCTCAAAGAACCCATCAACCACCAGGGACACATGGCACCGGGAAGGACAAGGGCTGGGGCCCTAAAGAAGGGGAGGGAGCACCGATGGGCCCAGGAACCCAGAACCCGTGGGGCCTCAGGATCGCACCGACCCGCCAGCCCTGTCCCAGTGTCCAGCCGCCAGGCTGCCCATGCCACCTGCACATCCCTCTGTGGCTGTCACTGGGACACTGGCTTCCTTCCCACAGCTGTCTGGGGAAGGCCCCAAGGGGGGCATGCAAAGAAGGGCGTGGGGCCACCGCCCCCAGGCCCCCAGGGTGACTCCCCTGCCTCTCGAAGGGCACTGACCCTCGGCTCTGGCTTCCTGGCGAGTCCGGGTCCTCGTCCCCCTCCTCCATGCTGGCCACCTTCTTTAGCTTGCTACCCTTTTTCTGTGCCAGAGGACAGAGCCGTGACCTGCGGGGCCCTCATTTGGCTGGGCCCTCTGCGTTCCTGGCAGTCACATAGGCTGCCAAGCCTTTCCCACCCAGCCACTCAGCTCCCCCGAGGCCCTGCAACTCGGGGCAGCCCCAGGTGTCTGAGCTCAGGCACTGGCCAGGCCAGAAGGGGCCATCAAGGCATCTGAGCCTGAGCCCACTAGCACCCAGCCCAGGAGCGGCCCGGACCTTGCGCTTGGAGAAGCTACTCATGAGAAGGCGGCTGTTGCGTCTGCTGACCCCGGCATCCTCCCCGGACTCCGTGTCCTCCTCAGCTTTGCTCTGCACGAGGGAGACAGAGGTAATGGTGAGAATGACGAGGCCCCGAGGCCTTCTTGGACAGTGTGGTCCAGCCCGGCTCCCTGGCCCTGCTCCCACTGCAGTGGCCCAGCCTGAGCCCCTCCTCCTGCTGCTGCTATTCCTGGAAGACCCCAGCAGCTGCTCAGACATGAGGCAGTCAAGCTCCCGAGTGTCCCTGCCAGGTGTCACCCAGCCAAGGAAAGCAGAGACTTAACGTCAGCATGCACCTGGCCGGGCAGAGCTTCAGGTGGGCCATGCTGTCCCACTTGGATGCCTGGGGACTGAAACAAAGCCAGGCCTATGTGTGCCTGCCAAGCACACTGGGCCGTGGGCGGAAAGGCAAACGTCTGCCTCCAAATGCACTGGTTGTGCAGGACACAGCCACAGCCAGGAAAGAGTCCTCCCGCCTCCTGCCTCCCACCTCCCTGAGGCCCTAGGAAGTGGCTAGGAACCAGCCTGAGGCCCCAGCCCAGTGGGCTCTCCAGCCACTGCCACACCCTAGATTTGCCACCTTGCACTGCCCACTGGCTTGGGCTCTTTGACAGATGTGCCCAACCTTCGAGGTATGGGCCTGATCTTGCATGTGCATTTGCACACACACAGACATACATGCATGAGCGCATACACAGTCCACAGTGTGTGCCATGACAGCCCCAGTCAGCCATTATCTCCGTGTGGACACTGCCCCTCAGCTGTGGCTGGTGGAGGCGGAGCAGCCATGCCCCACCTGCTGGACAGCTTCCAGCCCCAAGTCACTGAGACCCTGGCCACCCCAGCACTCATGAGACCCTCACCACCCTGGGTGAAGCCCATGTCCCCTCCAGCAAGGCGGGCAGCGCTTACATCCTCCAGGGCACATACAGAAGTTACACAGGCATGTGTACGGGTACGTGGGCACGCAGATGTGTGTGTGTGTGTGTGTGTGTGTGTGTGTGTGTGTGTGTCGATGTGCACGTGCGTGTCACCTCTGTGTCTGTAGAGGTGTGGCCGGGTGCAGGGCAGGCATGCGGTGTGTGGGCTGTGTCCTCGGGGCACTCACCTTGTTGGCATCTGCTCTGTGCCCAGGTCTGCCCGTTGGGGACATGGTAGAGATTGTGAAGTCATCAGGGTCTTCACAGTCTCGGGCCTTTGACTCCTTGATTAGAGAATCCAGTTTCTTCTTGGCCATGTTTTCCACGCGCTTCCGATTGGTGGAGGCCTGCGGGAGCCAGAGGCCAGCCCTCAGCACCTGTCCCCCGAGCAGCAGCAGCAGGTCACAGCCCCGGGACACGGCACACACACTGGCAGCTTGAAGCTCTCAAGGCTGCGATTCCCCCAGGGCAGCTGAGGCGACGAGCACACTTGGGTCCAGGCCCATCTGCCTGTTTGAGTGCTGCCCAGAGCAAGGGAGTGGAGAGCTGGCGGTGCCCAGCAGACAGCACAGGACAGAGGACCCATGCCGGCCACCACATACTCAAGAAGCCGGCGGAGGTGGGCCGAGCTGTGGAGGAGCCCCGGGCTGGGCTGTGGTGAGCGCTGGGCAGACATCAGGCTCACGGATTTGTGCCCAGGGGCCAGGCAGAGGCGGTGCGCCTGCACCCAGCACAGGCAGGATTCTGCTGTCTCAGTGCTTTTCTGAAACAATGAGCCACCCTAGCCAGGAAGCCTCCCGCACAACTATTTTCCCATCCAATGGCCCCTGGGGAAACAGGCTCCACTCTCCAGCAGCGGCTGTAGCTCAGAGCAGCACCGGAGGAGACCAGAAGCTAAAGATGGAGCCGCTGACCCCAGCCCCTGAACCCAGGGCCCTAGAGACTCCCTGGCCTTCCTCGCTCCACAGGGGCCAAGCCAGCCCTGGGGAGGCTGTAAGGACACCACACAGAGGCCGCCCCTGGGGCTAGGCCGGCTGGCCCTGCAGGAGCGCTTAGCTCTGGCGTTGGTGCAGCTGCAGTGTGGCTGATGCTGGGCCATGCCGGCTGGACAGGACCACCAGCCTCCCTGCGTGTGGCTGGGCCTGGCCCGGAAGTGGGAGGAGCCCGGGATATGCTGGGCAGAGGCCGGCAAAAGAAGGTGCAGTGGGAACTGCACAGGGCCAGAGCGCTCAGGGACTGAGGACAGGGCCAGGCGACGATCAGCACCGAGCCTGCTCAGGAATGGGCACTGAAGGGAGCCTGAGGGGGGGCAGGCGGAGGGCAGCCCCACCAACCCTGCCCCGCGAGTGCCCTGGAGGCAGCCCCCTGCACCACCCCGGGCCCTGCTGTGCCCCTACTCACATCCCCGTTGAGGAGCTTGCAGTCCTCGTCAATCTCGTCGGCACTGTCCTCGTCCGACACCTCACCTTCCTCCGCGTCCTCACTGATGTTAGCCGGAAGCTTCTTCCCCTGGGAGGAGCAGACACACAAGGGCAGCACTGGGCAGGAAGCAGGGAGACCCCGGCCAATCGGGGCCTAGCCAGCCCAGGGGCCTCACCTTGACCAGGATCTTGCCCCGGAGCATCTGGGGAGAAGGGAGCGTGGAGGCGTCTTCGCTGCTCACGGCTGACAGGTCCAGCTTGTCCCCAAGGATGTCAGTCAAGTACTGGGCCATCTTCTTCTGCTGGACGACGCAACAGTGGTTCTCGATGGACAGGATCACCGGGTACCTGGGCCCCAGGCCGAGAGCACAGGCAAGGTAAGCACAGGGGTGCAGACCACTGGTGTCCCCCAGGCCGGGAAAGTGAGGGGGCAGGAAAGGAGTGGGGCGTCTTAGGGATGAGGAAAGAAAGTACCGACATTTTTCCAGTTAAAAAAAAAAAAAGGCAATGAGAAAATCCAGGAAAACCAATGGGAACAGCTCCGGTTGAAAAGAGGCAACAGAGAGACAGAGAACGTAATCCTGGTGACCCAGATCCTGGATCCCGGCCTGGGGTCCCGGCACTGGCCGCACGGGCACACCCAAGCCCGGCATGCACCATCTGACCAGAAGGGCTGCGGCCCAGCCCACACGGCGGGAGCAGGGAGCGGGATCAGGAACAGTATAAGCACGTTGTGCTTTGACTTCTACCAAGAGGAAGCTTTGATCCTTTTAGAAAACGCGGGGGACCCATGCCAAGAGGGTACGAACCAGAGCAGAGATGGGCAACCGGGTGACGTGAGGGGCCAATGATGGGGCAAAGGCTCCCCACTCCCAGCGCTGGGGGAAGAGCCCCCTGCGGGCCTCTGCTCCTCAGTGACACCAGGGCACGAGAGCATCCAGCATCCCTGGTCCACGCCGCCCTGCAGCCCTGGCCCAGCCGACCACGGGCCTTGCGCCCTCCACACAGCTGGACACAGACACAGGTGGGTCTCTGGGCCCCTGTGCAGTTTCCTAAGTCAATTGCTCAAGAGCTCCCTCCTGGCTTGCGAGCCTCATTCAGCCAGGACACAGCACTAACACTAGCAGCAAGGAGGGGGCCTTCTGTTTCCAGAAACTAACTGGATTTTCCTCACTGGTATCTGCTGCTACAACCGGGCAATATCCCTTCAAGTCTGGACGCAGTGGCTTCCCAAGGCTAATTAACTTGGGGCCACCAAGGCCCTGGTGGCTGACACCACCACTGCCACCGCCTGCAAGGCCAGCTGTGGATGCTTATGCCCTGCAAGGACTCGGCCGGTCTATGCATCCACTCCAGCACGTGCTGCCTCCTCCTGCTGGCCATGTGGTCCCACCCTGCCTCACCTGCTCCTCCAAAGACCCCCTGACATAAAGCCCACTCCTTGTCCACCACAACCACTTCCCCCAGGAAGGACATAGGACGTGGGGCACAGACCCAAGGGCCTAGCCAGCCACTCACTCATTCTTGAGGAAGGCGTATTTGTTGATGGTCTCGATGACATCTCTGAAGAGGATCTTGGAGGTCAGTGTGTAGCCATGGTGGACGATGGGCTCCCCATCGGGCCCATCCCAGCAGTCCACTGCAGGCACAGACCCGGTCAGGCGGGGGCTTGGCCACCTGACCCGAAGACACCAGCGCGGCCGCCCCGCCCTGCCCCGTCCTGGGGCCTCCCCAGGAACCTCACCCTCCACGCATCTGCAGCCGGCCTGCAGCACCCAGGCGTACATGTCGGCCCGAGACTGTGAGGTCAGCTGGTCCCCCACCAGGTAGGTGTTGTGGGACGAGGTGATGAAGTAGTGGCTCAGGGGTCGCGTCATGTCCTGGTGCACGCCGTGGTGCTCGGGGTTGAAGATGTCGCCTGCAGGGCTCCGTGTGTAGTTGGTGAAGCCTGTGGGGCAGCGAGGGTCGGGAGCCAGCCCTGCTGAGGCTCGGAGCTCGGAGCCACCTGTCCCACCCCACGGGCTGTCCACCCGGCCTGTCCAACCTGCTCACCATCAATGCCCAGCACGCCCTTGCTCCTGTTCTCCGGGCAGGGCTCGAACTGCTGGATGATGTCTCGGCAGCGCTCCAGGGTCACGCCCTGCATCTGGGCCGGGTCGGGGGTGTGAGTGCGGGCTGGCCAGGGCAGCGAGGGTCACCCTTCCACAGCTCCCCATCTCACCAGCACATCTAACTGACCACAGCAGGGTGACATTTGAGGCCAGAGGCACAGACCACCCAGTGTCCCTGGCCTGGGGTTCTTCCAGCAGGGGTAGGGTCTCTGGACTCATCCGCTGGGCACCTTGTGCAGCGTGGAGGGAGGGTCCCACACCTGTATGCAGGGCTCCACATACCACTCCAAGGAGCCAGCAGGCACCAGAGCCACCTGCTATCACTGGGTCCCTGCTGGGTGACTCCTAGAGAACTGATCCCCAAAGCCAAGCAGCCCCCAGAGCCCTGCACCAGCCCTGAGGCAGAGCCATCGGGCCATCTGGGAGAGTGGGAGGCAACAGGTGGGAGGTGACAGTCCAGGGAGCGGACACATGTGTCAGAGCCCAGACCTAGCTATGACCGATTAGGTCCTGAAGTACAGGAGGTTGGTTGGGCCTGGGCTCAGGCCACCACAGGAAGAGGCTTCCAAGAGCCGGGCACAAAGGTCAGGAAGAAAGGGTCAGCTCTACCTGTCCTCATCCAGCCCCCATGCCCAGCCCTGCCTCCCATGCCAGTGCCAGTGCCAGGACAGCGCCCCTGCCCAGGGCCATACCCCCACCCCCTGCCCAGTGCCACAAGGGCAGTGGGATCCGGCCATGAGGGTGCCCGCCTTCTCCCCAGGGACACCACCAGGCCAGCAGAGAGGTAGCCATGGCTGCCAGGGGTCAGGACCTGCCACACAGCCCCTGGGGAGGGGCAGGCCCTCAGGCCCGGCTTGGGCAGCCCCAGGAGGATCTCCGTGGTGCCCCTCCTGCTGTCCTGCACCCAGCACCACCCACCTGGTGGTGACATGGCCTTCACAAGAGGCTGACTCTGAGCCAGAGGCTGGTGGGGCAGGGCCCCAGGAAGTCCCAGGCAGGGCTGGGCCCCACAGCCTGCCTCAGGGAAGGCAGGTCCACGCTGTAGCGCAGAACACCAGAGCCTGGTCAGCAGCGCAGTGCCCAGGAGCACTCAGCCTTGGCATGGCCACCAAGAGTGGACAGGCTTCCTGGGCAGTACTGGGGAAACCGGGGTGCATGTCAGGCACTTGGATGAATGCAGCCAGCCATTCTGGAGCTGGCCAGCCATGTGGCTGGAACAGAGTTGATGGGGCAGGCTGGGGCCACTCTCACAGCCAGGGCCACAGAGCCCTGGCCTACATCAGAGCTTAAGGTGTCCTTGGTCTGAACAGAGCCACACAGAGGCCTTTAGAGAGAAACACTGGCCTCCCCACCTGCTGGCAGTCCCCACGGCCCATGCTGGGGAAGGGAGACTAGAAGCCAACTCAGGGCCTTCTCTGCCTGCCATGACCCCCTGGTCCCCGGGCCCCAAGCCACCTCCAGCCTCACCTTCTGCTCCACCTCCAGGAAGCGCTGCAGGTCGGCAGCGTCCAGGTGGTCCTTGTGGTTGCTGTAGGTGAGCAGCAGCAGGTAAAGGTCCCGGCGCGTGGACATCATCTTGTAGAAGGCACAGAACTCCTCGAAGCCCAGCGTCCCCTGCCGGTCATCTGTGTCTGCCTCCTGCAGGATGAGGCTACTGGTCACCATCAGGTCCTTGGGGCCCACCACCTGGCAGCCTCCCTCCTCTACCACTGCCTATGCCACCACCGCAGATGCTGGTGGGCACACGGAGCCCCCTGCCTCTTCTGTCAAGTCACCAGGTGACCCTAAGAAGCACAATATGACCTACCTTCCCCGACTCCTCACATGGCACAGACCCCACCATCGCCCCCACCAGAGCCACCAACACTCTGTCCCTCACACACACGCACACCCTCACCAGATCCAGATGGCACTGCTGCAGTACAGCTCAGTCAGCAGGGTCCCTGCCCTTTGCAGAATGGCACTGCTCAGGACATGGGCTGGGGCCTGACCGCGGACACACAGCTGCCCGGGGCTTAGGACCTTGGCAGAGCTGCTGGGGACCCTGCCCTGGCTCTGGGGGGCTCAGTCTTCACCTCTGCTGACCGTGAGCCTTAAGGGCAGGTCCTGTGCCCTGTCTTGTCCCCAGAGGCCTTGTCTACAGACATCGCCCGAGCCCTTGGTGCGTAACAGCTGCAGACCCCACATCCGTGCAGGGAAAAATGTCTCTGAGGAGGACCAGAGGGCCTCTTCCCAGCCCCCAGTGGGGCCTCAGGGCTCTGTCACCACCCGGAGCCTCCCAAGGAGCTAGGGGAGCCCAGCTCGGTGCTGGGAAACAGGACAGTCCAGAGCAGCGGCAGCCCAGAGGGCAGGCTGCAGGCCACTGCCAGCCGCACAGCAGCCCCCTCCCCACATGGCCGTGCAGTCTGTGGCGTCCACAGGATGGCACCACAGAATCACCGGGACACAGGCAACGCTGCCCTCAACCAGAGGGGACTCAGAGGGGAGGTCTGGTCTGGAGTCGGACATGCAGCAGACCTTGGGCACACACCAGGCACCCATGCAACAGCTGGGATGGCCCAGAGCCACTCGCACAGGGTTTAGCTGCCACCAGCTGGGACCATGGTGTCTGACGTGAGCCTAGAGGGACAGCCTCACCTGCAGGAGCTGACCACCCCTCCCGGGCCAGCCAGGCCAGTGCACACTGCAAGTCAAAGAGCACCCTGGTGACAAGGGCACTTGCCGGTCACTCTCCAGAGACAATGCCCTCCCCTATGGGCAGCAGGGGCAGGGGCCTGGGGCGGGGTCTCCGCCTGCTCTGGGCTGGAGGGAAAGTGCCACGCAGGTGGGGCCCACAGGGCCTGAGCAGCCCAGCCTCGATCCTAGACTCAGCACACGGCAGCCTGACGCTGTCTCTCCTATGCCCTCTGCCAAGCCAGCCTTCAGGGCTCCAAGGTGCTCTGGGCTGGTCAGGCCCGAGGGCAAGGGCACTCGGCCCATGTTCCGTGTTATCAGATTTGATGCAATTATGTTAAAGGCACTCCATCTGCCGCGCGGCTCTGCGCTCTGATTAGGAGTTCCAGGCTGCCTCAAGCAGTATTGAGATTCCACTACAGTCCCGTAGACGCCAATTATCGGGGAGGCCGGAGCTGGCTGCAGGCCCATCACACCGGGCGCAGGATGCACAGCAGGACCTCAGGGACCTACGGGGCAGGCAAGAGCTACCACCACACAGGGCGCTCACCAAGCTGAGCCCTGGAGCTGCGATTGTAGCTCACGCTCTGACCCGGAAGGCGTTGGTCCTCTGCTCCAGGGCTGCTCCAGCCCTGCATCCTGGGTCACCTGTTGCTTGGCCCCTGCAGCAGCCTCACCCTGAGGAAGGGCCTGGTAGCCCAGGGCTGCCCCTGCAGGTGCAACGGTGTGAGGGGCAGCCCCAGGCAGGCAGGGGAAAGGGGTCTGACATCAGACACCAGCTGTCTGCCACCTCTGCACCCAGGCACTGTCCCCACCAGGGCTCTCGGGAGGGGCCCACAAGGCACCCCACACTCCACCTCCTCCCAGAGCCACGGTGCACAGCCAGCTGCCCTCCTCCCTCCAGCTGGGCATGACGGCCATTCGGCATGAGCAGTGGGCAGGAGATGTCAGACAGGAGACAGCAGAGATGTCAGGCCAGGAGTGTGAGTGCCTGTGCATGAGTGTACGTGTGTGTCTGTGTGTGCTTCTGCTCATAGAATTCCTGCCAGGCTCCAGCCAAGCAAGGAGGCCGAAGGGCCGGGATTGCTGGCTCAGCCCATTCCCGCCCCTCAGTGTACCCTGGCTCTGCAGAGAGAGAGCTAATTACAGACAATGAAGGCTGCAGTACAGCTGAAGGACGCACTTTCATAACCTCTGACACCAGGGTTGCTGGCGAGAGCCGCTGCCAGTCACGCCCCTGCCCGGGCACTGACACCCTTGCTAAGAGCATGGAGTCGGGGGTCCAGGAATCCAGGCCCTTTCCTGGGTCCTGCCCACCCACCAGACAGACCCTGTGCCCAATGCTCAGCCCCTGCTATGCAATGGGCATGCATAGTCCCAGGCCCGGCTCCCCCCCACAAAAGGCTCAGGCCAACGCCCCCGAGGACCACCCGCCCACCCCCAGCCATGCGTCCCCATGCTCACCCTGAACATCTGCTTCACGCGCTGCCGGGGCAGCTTCACGTTCAGCTTATGCAGCAGCTGCAGGACCTCGCCCATGCTCAGACTTCCGTCCCCGTTCTTGTCGGCCTCATCGAACGTCTGCTTCAGCCACTTTGGGGCCGAGTTAGGGGCCAACTCAAGTCCACAGCACAGCCCACCTGCAGCCAAGGCTGCCCATACATCCTTCCCCAGGGTGAGAGGGGAGGACTGAGCACCCCTCTGTTTGTTCCCACCCTTGGTGTTGAGGATATTGGTCCCTGGTGCGCTGGCGTCGGGCCAGGCTGTCCTCATCGCTGATGCCGGCCATGAGGTAGCGCAGGCCGGTGACCCAGGTCCGAGCCTCATCCCCGCTGGGCGAGACCAGGTCCAGCGACTCGCGGTGGCTGCCGTGGTAGATGCTGAAGCAGCAGTTGGGGTCGAAGCTGCCGTCCGGGTAGCGCTGGAAGATCTCAGACTGCCGCCCCTCGCTCACCTCCTGGATGGAGTCGATGGAGACTGCGGGCGGTGGGAGGGCAGTGCGTCACAGTGTCTGGTGGCTGCCCAGAGTCCCAGGGCCAGGGACTGAGCAGCCTGGAGCTGTGTGCTCGCAGGTGACACCCCACCAAGCCTTCTACACAGCACCCACTGGCTCTGAGCAAATGCGGACCCCTCCCCTGATTGTTTTGGCCCGTAGATCCCATGCACCCCCCACAAGAGGGAGGGGCTCGGCCTGCCTGCAGGAGGCCAGTCTCGCCAGCACCAGCGCCAGTGCCAGTGCCAGCGTGGGGCTCAGTGAGCAGGGAGCCTGCAGGAGGCAGCTGCACAGCCACCTCCGCCACCAGGTCCAGCCCACGCATCTCTGCTCCATCAAATGCAGCGGCTGCCCAGGTGTGGGGGGACTTCACAGTCACCTTCAGGGAAGCCTGGCACAGTGGATCTGGGAGCCGTGGTGTAGCAGGCAGCTAACAGCTCCCACCAAGGAGCTGCGGAGTTGGGGCTCCGCAGAGCACCCCACCTTTAAAAGCTAACTCCACAGGTGAATGAGCCAGAGGTGCTCCAAACATGTTTCCCTGACCCCTCCCATGTGCCTAGGGTCTTCTCCAGGCTCAGCCTGGACCCCAGCCGGGACCTCAGCACTGGCACATGTGGCAGTGGGGAGCACAGAGCCCAGATTTGGCCCAGACAAAAGCCACCCCACAGGACGCCCCCCAAGGCTGGGAGGGCTCCTGGCACCAAACTGGGCCTCAGGAGTGTCCGGGCCCAGCTGGACTGATGTCCTGCCCCACAACCTGCCCCTGGAAACCAGTTCTGTGTCAAAGTTCCCCGAGGGTCCTCGACTGGGCACTAGGGCTTCTCCACCTCCCCCAGTCCGGGGAATGGTCACTCTGGGGCAGACAGATGAGATGAGCGGGCCAATGCCACCCAGTGAGCAGAGCCCTATCCAGTGCACCTGCCGTGGGGACCCTCCTCCGGGCCTCCTGGGCTCCGCAGCTCAGCCCTCTCCTGGGGCCTGTGGCAGCACCCTGGGCAACTGTTGGGCTGGGGCCCTGCTTGGGACACTGGTCCTGTCACAGGCATAGCCAGAAGATGCTAGAAATGCCCTTCTTGCAGCCTGCCAGAATTTCATGCCAGAACTTTCCCTGCCTGGGCCTGCTCCAATCCCCCCAATCTGCCCCTGCCCTATACCATCCAGCTCAGTGCCCCCTGCAGGCCCCCTGGTTGTCCCCCATGGCTGCCCAGGGAAGCACTCAGCACCCAGGCCCATCCCAATGTGGCCAGCTGGGTCTTTCTCTGAAGGTTCTTGCCTCCTTCACCCCACCATGTGACCCAGGGCCACCGTCTTCTTGCAGACCCAGTGTCCCTGGGTCCCAGAGCCCCCGGGTCCCCGAGTGACCACTCACTCTTGGCCTTCTCGTTCTTCCTCGAGGGCCTCCAGCGCAGACAGGAGCGGTGCTCGTCCAGGTAGTAGAAGCGGACCAGGCCCTTGGAGCTGCCCCGGAGCTTCACCATCTGCGTCCCCTCCTGCATGGCGCTCATGCAGCGCTCCACTGGACACAGGGAAGACGGAGCCTTGAGCAAGCTGGACCCAGCATGCCCAAGGGGCAGAGACCACCCCTCCCCACCCACTGAGGCCAGGGGTCATCACCCAGAGTCACTCGACACTCCTGAGGCCCGTCATCCTTCCACCCCTGACTCCCAGGGGACTGCAACCCAGACTTCCCAGGCTCTGGATGCCCACAGCCCAGGATGAAGCAGTGGCCCAGCTGCCTTGTGGGAGCCACAGAGCAGAGGCCACCATGCAGAGCACATGCAGGCGCCAGCCCAGTGCCCAGCCTGGCTGCCAGCCCAGTGCCCAGCCCAGTGTGGGCTGCTCCTGAGGGTCTAAGCCTTTCCTGCTGCCTCCCCAGGAAAGTCACTGTCTCATTACATGGCACTATTGGTCCTGGGTGTGCTCTGCAGGGCCACTAGGCAGGCTGTCATGGAGCGGGGCTCAGATTGGGAGCTGAGCGCTCACCTGCCCCTCATCTAAGACACTGCCCCTCCATCCACTCATGTTGCAGGGAAGGGCTCAGGGTGTTCAGTCAGGGTCAGGTGATCCCAGCCAGAGACCTGTCAGGTCCACTCAGGCTCACATGCCTGCTTCTAGGAAACCCAGGACCCAAGAAGTCTTGTGCCAAAGTTCAGAGAAATTCAACCCACGAGGTCCACACAATGGGGTAGGCAACAGGGACCATGGGCAGGGGCAGCCCAGGGTCTTCTTGAAAGAGGCTGCTGCTACATGAGCAGAGGGAGCTGCAGACCCAGAGGGGGGTGGGGACAGGAGGCTGAGCTCCCCAGGGGACGCACAGGTGGGGACACGGGTGTGGGGGACAGGCTCAATGGAGAGGCAGAGACAGGCCCTTGTGGCCCGAGGCAGGGATCCCGGAGCGACCCCTCTGCCAGCAAGAGCGGGAGCTGGTGCACAGAGAGGCCCGAGCAGCCACACTTGGAACCCTCAGCAAGCCACCCGAGGGTAGCCTCAGCCGCCTCTGGGGCCACCGCATGGGCGCTGGCCCTACCCGGCAGCCCAGGACCCACTCTCACAGCCTGGCCTGCTAAAGTTCGGCCTCCAGGCCCTTCTTTAGGGGTAGGGGGAATTGGGGGCTTCTGAGTGGCTGACGGGTGCAGCAGCCAACACCGGGGAACCCCCATGACCCACAGAGGGAAGCCCAAGGGAGCAAGTGTGAGCGGGAAGGTGACTCCAGCCGCGGCACGGATGGTCCCCCACCCCACGGGGCCTCGTGCATCCCTGCTGCCCTTACCTAGCAGGCCAAGCTGCCACTCTGGTGACACCGCCACACTCCCTCCAACCCAGAGCAGCACCTCGGCCAGGCCCGTCACCGCTCCTGTGCCCCGGCTGGCGGTGGACAGCTGGGGGCCGGGCATCCCCAAATGGTGGCCAAGCGCCGGCTCTTGGAGCCCACAGAGGGCCCTCGCTGGCACAGATGGCAGTGGTGGTGCTGGGTGCAGAGGCTCCTGGGGCTCCCCTGCTCTCCTCTGCCTTGTCTTCCTCCCCCTCAGAGCCCCCCAAAAACCCCCTGGGTTGTCCGCAGGCCCTGCTGGCATTGGCCCGACCACTACCCACAGCCACAAGCCAGCCTACCAGCCCTCAGGGTCCTTGGGGCACCGGAAGAGCTGCATGGGGGGCGGGGGCTGCCGGCCCCACCCTGCCCACCCTCCACCAATCCCCGTACTAATCCTGCCCGCCAGCTCCAGCCCAGCTGCCAAAGGATTTGGGCCAGAGGAATGCCCAGCTGCCAGGAGAGCAGTCAGTCACCCCAGGAAATCCCAGGCCACCAGACCCACGTCCAGCAGGACAGCTGGGGGACCTCCCAGGACCCAGGGATGCAGCTGCAAGGCCTCGGGGATGGGCCCCGTGGTTCACTCTGGCAGGGCGGCAATTGGAGCCCATCCCGCACACTACCCATGCTAGGAGCCTGTCCCTCTCTGTCCTGGGCCCCCTACCCAATCCCTAACACTTACAGGGATCTCCAAGTGGATCCCAGCTGTCTCGGGGGAGCAAGAGGGCCTGGAGGTGGAGCAGAAGCAGCAACATGTGCCCAAAGCCCAGGCCCGGGCCAGGCTCTCCTGTGCCACAGGCCTCAGCGCAGGACACTTGTCCTGTAGGATAGAAAGGGCTCCGTTCCACCTCGACCCCTCACACAGGCAGGATGGTCTCCTTCACCTCCTTCCAGGCTCAGCACTGGGCCGCTCCACCCCATGGCACAGCCCCAGGCTGACTTTCATCTCACGTGTCTCCCCAGAGCCCTGCAGGCAGCTTCCACCCTGGACACATCTGTCGTGGCACTATGTTCTGAGGCTGGCGAGCCGGCAGGCTGCCCACCCCATGAGGGCCACCGACCTGGGCAGGTGAATGGGCGGAAAAGAGCCCCCATCTACCTACCAGCGAGGGTCCCAGACCTCCAGGCAGGCTGCAGGCAGCTGGGCTTCCCTGGGTGACAGGAGAGGACACCAAAGTTCCACCCCAGTAGCCTTGCTGACCTGGCCCTGCCACTGGCCACACCCAACCAGCCAAGCACCGCTGGGACATGTACATCCAGTCATCCCGCCCAAGCCCACCCTGTATCCCAGGTCTGCCATCCCTGTGTCCCTGGCAACAGGAACCCTGGGCAGAGAACCAGAACCCACCAGGCATATTGGATGTAATCAGCTCAGAGCCCAACCCAGAGACCAGTTAGGGACCCCGGCTGGAGGCCCTGCCTCATTTTCTGGCTGGGGGCCAGCAGGAGCCTGCCCCGCTGCCCGGATGGGATTAGGGATGCATTCTCCTCTGAGACAGAAGGGGCTGTGGTCCTGGAAGTCCCCCAGATCCCCAGGAAGCCCTGTGTGGGGACCTCAGAGGCCCCAGGGAGCCAGGCTGGACACAGGTCCAAGTACCAGGAGGCACTGCTGCCACCGGTGTCCCCAAGGCTGAGTGAGATGCTCAGCCCCCTCCCTGTACTCATGTGTCAGCTGTCCCTCACATCCTGCTCTCAGCCCACGAAAAAGGGGTCAGGCAATCTCAGTCCTCCTCTGTCCTCACGGTGAGGGTGCTGCCCCCACCTCCATGAAGCCCCCCAGGGAAACCATCCTTGGCCATCTCTCACTATTCACTCTGGAGGGGCGGATGCCTGGGCCCAGTATCTTGGGAGGAGGCATGGGGGAGCCCCTACCCTCAGATCTCCTGACCCCTCCTCAGCAGTCCCAAGCCATAATCCTCCACTGACCGTGACCCAGCTAATCTGCCCTAGGCAGGGCTCGGCCAGGAAGGTCCTTCCATGGCCCTGGGGACCAAGGTAACCCTGACCCACTCTGACACTCAGGGACAGGCGGATATAGACCTGCGGCCACAGCCAAGTGAGCCCACAGCCCAGACAGGGACATCACAGGGGAGTTCCCAGCCCCAGGCAGCTGTGCCACCTGAACCCAGCATGGCCAAAGTCACTGCCCAGCACAGCCCAGTCACTGCCCCTGAGACAGCTCTGGGCTGGACCACTCAGAGCAGGGCCCCACCTCAGCCCACCCCACTCCCAGAATGGTCACATATGTGACGAGGGCTGGGCCTAGAGCTCCCCTTGCTGGCCTGGGACCTGGTGTCCGCTGCTTTGGGCACCCACAAGCACCCTGCTCAGCCATGGTCCACACCTAGGCAGCCCAGGCTCCCCCAAGCCTGGGCCAGGAAATCAGGACTGACACCCAACCGGGGCTCCCACCCTGGCCAGGGAGAGGCAGTGCCCGCTGCCGCCTAGGTGGAGGCCCCTCTCTCGGTGGCACCCAGGAGGGGATCTGAGCCTGGAATCCTTGAGAACCTACTCCCAGCACCTGCTGGACACCAGGGCACGGTGGGGAGCCAAGGGCACATGGATGCTGTGTGGTGGCCCACAGTCACTGGTACCCTCAAGTCCAGGATGGTCAGACAGACAGCACTGGAGTAGGGAGAGGACACGGAGGGCTCATGGGCTCCCCCCAGCCTGGTCCAGGGGGCCGCTGGAGAGCACAACTCCACCTCCTGTGCCTCAGTTTCCCCATGTCGCAAAGGCTCACCCTTGTCTCTGGCCACACTCTTTCCTCCCCAAGCCTGCACAGGACACTGAGACACCACACACCAGAGGGGGCACCGGAGGGCTGTGGTGGTGTCAAGGGTGTGTGTGGCTGCGTGGCAGTGAGGGTCGATATTGCTCTGTGTGGCGGTCTAAACTGCAAGAGGCCAGCGGCAGCTCGGCGTGTCTCCCCAGGAAAAGCTGGGAAATCAATGTAATCCTCCAGCGAAACTCACAAACTGACACCTGGGCTTGCCGGTGCACACACACTCACAGGGGTGCAGCCTCCTCCTGGGGGCGCGGTTGGGGAAGCGCACAGACCAACACAGTGAGGCTGTGCGGCCCACATGGGGACTTCCCCACCCCTCAGCCGGCCACCACTGCGCGGTCCCCGGGGCTGGCTCCCCCCAACCCGCCTCTCTGCCCTCCTCCTCTCCTTCCCAAGGGCCTTCCAGTGCCCGCTCCTCTGAGAGCAGAAAGGGGGAGCTGGGCTCCGGGCACGCCCTGGCCCTGCCTGCTGGGATCCAGCTCTGCATACAGCCAGCCCTCAGTCCATGCATAGGGTGGACAGCATGGGGCCTCAGGCCCCAGTCCTACGGCAGGCAGCAGCGGCGGCCACTGGGAGGAGCCCGGCCCCTGGCCACCGCCGCCTTAGGGAGGGAGGGAGGGATGGGCCCACACACATATGGCCGAGATTATTTAAACGGCTGGGAGAAGCGACGAGTCCCCCCGCACGTCTGGGCGCCTCCTCCCCAACTATTTTTACTTTATCAGGGAGCGTGAGTCGGCTCCCTCCAGCCCTCCCCCTTCAGGACCCTGGGGTGGTGCCGCCAGGGCGCCAGAGCCAGGGCCTTAGGGTCAGAGCAAGGGCAGTGAGACAGAAGCCACTGCTGAGCCCAGGGTCAGCGACTGGTCCGCAGGACCCAGCAGCGTCAGGAACTCTGTCACCAGACGGTGCACTTGGCTGGCAGCAGGAGCAAAACGACATTCTCTAAGGCCAGGCGGTGCCCTGCCCAGCACCTATTCTGGGGAAGCCCCTTCTCACGCTGGGGTCCAGCTTCCTGCCCACACAGGACCCCCACTCATGCTGTCTTTCCAGGGGCCTCGATGGCAGGGTGTGTGTGCCTTCTGCTCAGCAGCCGCCAACACTGGGCCTTCCTCTGCCCCCCAGCAGAGCCCATCTCCAGGAGGACCCCAGTGGGTCCCTTTCTGCCCCTCAGCATCCCCTCAGTCCCCAGCTGGTGGCACACAGCAGCTCAGCTCCAGCGGTGGCATTAATCATGTCCGACAGCCCCGCCGGGAGGAGGACTCTATTAATAGCCCATTTCACAGCTTCCAGCTCCCGCAGGTGCCCTGCATCCCTGGTCCCTGGGGCTCCTATCCCCCTACTGGCCACACTTCCCTGAGGCCTTGCCTGCCTTGTGTTCTCCCCAGGGCCTGGCCGTGAAGGCAGCACCCACCTGGCCTGGCTCCCTGAGGCAGGGGCCCAGCTGGGACAGGTTCCGGCCCCAGAGCCATTGCCTGCCTGCCCAGGAGAGCTGCAGGGGTGCAGCTTCCTGGAGAGCAGGGCCAGTCTGGAGCCTGGGGATGGAGGGTATGGCCAGCAGAGCCCCTAGCGGCCAGACCCCAGCCCTAGGACTCAAGCCAGCCAGGCAATGGCCAGGGAGGCTCTGCAGAGCATGCTCTAGAACTGACTGGGCCTCCAAGTTTGATGTCCTAACATTTCCCGGCACCTCGTCACCAGCCCTGTCCAGGCCCCTACCTGCTCTTGCCAGCCCTGATAGTTGGCTGCTGCCCCACCCCTGTACCCCAGCCTGTGGGGGACAGGTGAGGGTCTCCCTGCTCTGTCCCCACCAGCACCTCATCCCATGCTGAACCAGGGTGGTTCAGGCCACCTCTGAGCGCAAGGTGCCCTCCACACCAGGCATCGGCAGCTTCAGGAGGGAACAGATGCCACAGTCCATGCCAACTTCCTCAGGGGCCCCTAGACCGCTGCTCCTGAGCAGGGTAAGAGGACTGTCCCTCATGACAAGTGCCCCACTGCGAGACAGGGCTTTGCCACAACTCAGGCCTGCCCGGCTCCTCCGGGAGCCTGCTCTGTTCTTCGGCCAGTGGCCGTGCGAGCCCAGCATCAACACTGCTTGGCTGGTGTGGGACTGGCACCCTAGGTGCTGCCTGGAGCAACTTCCCAGGAGCGCCCACCCCTCTCCCACACCGGCCTGACGGCTGGGCGCCCATGTGCGCTATGCTGGAAGCAAACTCCAGGAAGAACAGGCGCGTAGATTACTCATTCCTCCCGCCCTCCCCCAGCGGCCTCATTGATATCAGGGCTGCCAGGCTCTGGTCCCCAAGAGTCCCCCC